TATATACACATACACACACACATACGTTATAAGTACTAACTTATGTATGCATAACTTATGAATGCATAAGTTTTGTTCATTGTTACAGTTAATTGCAGGATTAATTGATATGGAAATGAATATATATATATATATATATATATATATATAATTGCTATAAAACGTTAATTAAACGCAAACATCAATACGTACATTTTGTTTTTGTTATATATATACAATTAGGGAAAAGACGGATAAGAGTACGCACTTTTGACTGTAACAAAAATTTATTTAACGAAAATTTTACTTTTTTATAAAATAAGTCAGATATCTTGTAAATATAATGATAATATTGATAATAGATAATTATATACATATATATATTGTATGTATATATATATAATTATCTATAATACAGAAAAATGTATATTATAGGAACAAATATCTGATATGATGTCCAGCAATAAAAGTACGCATGTCTGGTAAGAAATACTCAACTCAGAGAATTTAATAATGTCACATATTTGAATATTTCTTCTTCATAATTGGAAGCCTTATGCCATCACTGATTACAAATTTCATATGCATTGTAATCATTCTCAAAATTTTTACCGCATCCATAACAAAGGGTTTTGAAGACAAAGAAATTTTTATTTGATAAACTCTTTTGGGAAAATAGTGTTTTGCTCATATCATGTCTTGCTGTACACATATGTACATATGTATATATAATAAAAAACAATTAAAAAAGGAAGAAAATAAATATTCTCGAATTTTAGTATGGTTTATTATCCTTTAACTAATAATAAAACGTGTGAGAAATTTTTTATTGACAATAAAACGTTTAAATTCTGGAAATAAAAAGAATTATAATAGTAATAATTAATGAAGTTAACTTATTTTTTTTAAATGTAAAATATCTTTAATTATCAAAAGTAATCAAATTTAATTACATGCATAACAACAAATTTTTGACAAATATTGATTGAATTTCCATAACATAATGATGTCAGCTGAATTACTTACTGTTTTAAATTATCTGTACTGAGATATTATATAACCATGCGTATTCACGATGCATACTCTGAACCGACCACCCTTATCCCATATAAAGATTGTTTCGGAATTACATAGATTTGCAATAATTTATATTAAGTTTAATAATAAAACTTCAGCAGATTAGCATATGAATAATGTATATGCAACGTTACTGTATTCTATAATAGAATATTATAAGTTTTATATTATTATTATTGTTTTCATTACGTCTACAGATATGTACATACAGTGTTTGTCATTTTTCTATATCTTATTGACTTTTTTATTGCAGATTTATAAGTATAATATTTTTATTTAAAGATTTTTTACATATGTATTTAGATATAATAATAATAATATATACTTTTTATGAAATTCTTATATATTGTTACATGAAACTGGAAACTTACTTGATACAAATTGAGGCTAAAGCAAACAACTACTCCTACAGTGAAAGAAAGTATCATTATTTCGAATGTGGACACTAAATGCTTGGATAACCTTCATAAACAATAAATATATTACTTAAAAAATAATAAAAATATTATCAAAGCTCCTGCTTACTCACTGCAATCATCTTGAATTGTGATGTCAAAAGCGAAAAAAATACGTAAAGGAAATTTTTGCAAAGTATATTAAAATATGAGCACTTATTAAAACAACACTTGCAATCATTAGAGTAGATCGTAAAATATACCGAGAACTTCCCTCATTGTTCGAATAAATAACAATATATTTAAAATTAAATTACGTCTAATCAAACAATAAGTTATATGACAGATGTCGAATTGAGATAAATGTGATTTGATTATATTTCGAAATAAAAGGAGAATTTTCAGTATATTTTGCAAGTATACTCTACCAAATGCAATATTGTTTTATTGAACAAAATTTCTATATATTTTTTACAAGAATTTTTATTATGTATTTTCTCGCTTTTGCGTCAATCTAAATATCCGTACTGAGTAGTCAGAAGCCTAAAACTGATTCTATATTAATCACATTGTAGTGTTGCAAGAATTACTGTTCAATCAATGTCAAAATATTGCCATTCTAATTGGATGACAACGCTTACAATTAACACGCTTGCGACACTTCGATGCGACTAATGTAGAATCAGCATTAAATGGTTATACTGCATAAATACTATTAGTGTAAATGTAAGTACAAACTTCATAGCTCGACGATGAATGTCTATGGCGCAAATTATACTCTCAATCATGAAAACCTTATTTTTTAACGTAATACTTTTGGTATTAATATTTACTGCATGTTTGATACGATAACTATAAATATTGAATTGTAATTATATAACATCTCATTAAAGACACTTATTTTTTAAATAAACTTCCATAAAAAATCTTTTTAATATATTGTATGTATAAAAATAACTAATATAATAGTTGAACTGTTATAAAAAATGTTCATTTCTCTCATTCATCTATATTCCTACCTAGCAACTTTAAACATTCCACAGGTATGTTGAAGATATGAGATGAGCGTTGTACCTGTTGCTATCATTATCGTCATTCCAACGCATAATACTCCGTATATATGCAATAGCATCCAATAAAAATACTTTTCTTGATCAACAAAGTACTCTGTCAGAATGAATAAATGATGTGGTTGAGACATGTTCATTGGTGTATTAACATCAGCTATAAACGACCAAATTTGAGTTATAATAATAATAAACAATCCACAAATTCCAAATACTAAAAAAGAAAAAAAATTTGTTATTTAAATTCTTAGTATTTAAAATCATTGTGTGTGTGTGTGTGTGTGTGTGTGTGCGCGCGCGCGCGCGCGCGCGCGCGCGCGTGTGCGTGCGTGCGTGCGTGCGTACATTTATATATACCGTACGCGCGCGAATTATGAAATAATTTTTAATTTTTTTATGAAATCGAATTTTACTACAAAATTAATAGCTATTTTATTTTACATATCCGTTGTATTATAAAACATTTTTTAATGGAATAACTTTATTGTAAAATTGATAACTATTTTTATATTTTATTTGATTATATAAATACATATGAATTCATCATAGATGCACAAACATCATGACAAATATTTTAATTTAATATATTCATATAATAAATTATATGTAAATGTTTTTATGAAAGCGTATAATAAAACTAACTGATAAAACCTAAAATCATTTTCTATGTCTACTTGACAGTTCAAATATTAAACTGAAAATATAATTACCAAATTTATAAATATTGTCTTACCCGAAAGCGTAACTGTGTAACGTTTGGCAACGCAACTATATTTATATATAATAGCAATTTCGTTTTTATCCTTTAAATCATCGAGTATATATCGAAGCTCCAGCAATAAATTCTTCACCTGTCATTTTACCAATTTTCTATTGTGTATATCTTTGTATATGTCATAAATACTTTGTGCTATAAAAATTTATCTGATACACAAGTTAATTCTATTTAATATATATGCTTGGTAAGCTATCAACTTACAATTTCAATGTTAAGATGGAATGCGTTATATTTTATCATGCACAATATGAAGAAAGATACGGAAGACATCACCTTTATTACAAGGTCTAAAGTACAATTTAGTATTATTAATGGTGTCAACTGCAAAAAGTTAGTTTTACACAATTTCATATATTAAGATAATTTTTTTAAATGCGAGAAGTTACTTCTCAAAAAGGCATATGTATTAACGTGCGTTACAATAATACAAATAAATGCTTATATACAATTGTTAACCAACAATTTGCATCTCTATAGCGAGTACTTTGTAGTTTCTTATTTTACATAAAAATTGATCGCATAATATGGATTGATATAAATAATTAAAATAAAATATTAGCATGCAATAATTTATATTATATAATAATTTTATATTATTTTGTACCTGAAATATAATACCTGCTGACAAAATAGTACAGAAGAAATTAAACTGAAGTTGAGTAAATTTGGATTGTTGATAAGGCCATAAACCAACAGCAAGCAATAGAATTTTATTGATATTATTATACTGAGTTTCGGGACGTATCATTTTCTCTACGTGCGTTTACGTTTTACTGAGAAAACTGAAGCCATCAATGAGAGTATGCTTATTCCATTTTTTTCTACTAGAGTTGACTAAATATATATTTCACATCTCATTTCTTCTGATCAAATTTTACTGTAAATTCCATAATTTATAATGATTGGTTTGTGTAAAAGTTTGCTGTGTGAGATCTAACGGCGTTGAATTTAACTACTCTCTCAGGAAATTACAAATATTTATGTTATTAATTTAATACTACCGGTAATTTGACAGATGTTTTTTTCTCATGAAAACATGTTATTTTGCACGCAGGCGCATTTTCTCTCTCCCAGCGCCGGAACTTCATTTTAGTTTGCGCACTCATAGGATACGCTTCGAGAAATTGTTTCTATACTTTAATTTTTCTCGATATCGTGAGTTATCTGATAAAGTTCATAATTTGAAAATAATAGTATTATATTGATATATATAACGTTATTAAATTTTAAAATTGCGTTTGATCGATGCAATTAATATTTTCAGCAAACAAGTGTTGAATGTCGATTTGTAAGTTTGTTGTCTATAATTAAACTATACATTCTATTGATTATATTCTTTTCTTTGTATTTCTTAAATTTTTTAATGTTCTATTACTAATAGCACGCAAAAAATCTTATTTATAAATGATGTAAAATATGTAAACATGAGCCATTTATACTCGGAGAAAATTTTATATTTAAAATTACTATAATGTGGTAGTAGCTGTGGTCTTCATGTAAATTATAAGTTTAAATGCTATAGTTATTTTTTTAAAAACAATAATATAACGTAATTTTTACACTTTTTCATAGTAAAAATTTTGTATTACAAAATCAAATATACCTAGCAAAATTTGTTTGCGTACCATAGTAAAAATTAACTCTTTTCATGTTAGAATATGGCTTAACAAAATAATTACTTTATTTATGTGATAAAAATTAGTATTACCATAAAAGTTACAGTAAAAGTTAAGTCGGAATCATGTTGTGAGAGTCCATCGAAAATACAAGGCATAGTAAAGTGTAATTTAAAATTGTATTAAAACTTAATATAAAATTGTCTCCGTGTATAATACATTTTAACTTGCGATTATACAAGTATTGATTTCAGTAGATTTTAAAAACTTGAAGTATTATACCAATATCTTAATTTCAACTAAAAATGTCCAAATCAAGACTAACGAAATAAGATTCTTTGAGTGAACTTCTGAAAACGCTCGATTATCTTGAATTTTGGTAGAAATACTCTAAATGATGTCAAATGAATGCCCTTGATTGGATTTTCACCGACAAGAAAGTTTAATGCCAAAAATATTTCAATGAAGTTATGGAAGTTTGTGCTTATTATGGTAAATATCGACAATAATGGAAGCAGCTCCGATACTCTTAATCTTGACATATGTTTAGCATTGATTTAGAAGATATAAGTAAATTAAAGTTCCATAATATGTAGAGGATAAGTTTGAAAAATAATGATTTTTTTTACTATATAGAACAAAAATTTTCTGCTTTAAAATATATTTTACTGTCCATGCGAAACGACTCTCACCTCCCTTCCCCCCTGCTTAAGAGGCGCACGACTTCCATAATTGTACTATTGCACGTGGGTTTCGACTTTCCGCACCAAGCGACTCTCATTCCTTTCTCCCCCTGCTTAAGGGACGCATAACTTCCATAATTGTACTGTTGCACGTGGGTTTCGATTTTCCATATGAAGCGACTTTCACCCTACTTCCCTCCCTGTCAAAGGGGGACGCACAACTTTCATAATTATACTGTTGCATATGGGTTTAACGATAAATATTTTTCTTCTATATACGCATCCTCCTCATTCAACTCCTATATACTGCGATAAACATGTAGTATACTGAAAATAATAAGCACAAACTTCATTGAAATATTTTTGGCATTAAACTTTCTTGTCGGTGAAAATCCATTCCAAAGCATTCATTTGACGTCATTTGGAGTATTTCTGCCAAAATTCATGACAATTGGGTGTTGGACATTTTCGGAAGTTTATCCTATTATTCTTTTAGTAAGAAAATATATGTTTATTTTAAAAAATTGCTAAGAATTGAAAAGAATTAAATTTGAATCAAAGAAACGATTATTTTAATATCATTTTTTCATTTATTATATTTCTATTAATGATCATGAATTAATATTGATTTGGTTATCGCGTAGAATATATTACAGTAAAATAAGATACCGAGGCCTTTACTAGCTGCAAATGAAAATATTTTCTTTTATTTTATCTATATATGTATGTTATTTAAATACATGTATAATTCTGTTATGTATGTGTTATTAAAATAATTTTTCTCATATTACCGAGGCAAAATGCTCTACGGATCCTTCAATTATTCCACCGATGTTTAAAGTAAACTTCTTGGTGTCCCTTTGCAATAAGAATAATATTATTTTTTGTACATGTAATGGTGTTCTGTACCATTGAACGTTGTACCTACAGAATTGAATATATATATAGATATATATTATATATATACAGGGTGTCTCAGAAAATGTGACCGAAACACAGTGGGGACATAGATTGGATCAAGGGGAACAAAACAGTTTTGTACCATTTTGCAGTTGACGCAATATTTAACGAGATATAATATCTCGTTAAATATTGCGTCAACTGCAAAATGGTACAAAACTGTTTTGTTCCCCTTGATCCAATCTATGTCCCCACTGTGTTTCGGTCACATTTTTTGAGACACCCTGTATATGTTTAAAGTTTCATCAAAATAGTCCAAATGATGTTCGAAATTTTTCAAAAGCAAAATTTTTCCTTCAACTTAGACACATATCCTATATTTTTTAAACTAAGTCGTTTCGGACATATGGTCATATAAAATTTTTGTCTTGAATTTGTGTGATGAATTACTCCGTAAAATCTTTCAGAATACTTTGTAATCTCCCTGTATACTAATTTGAAATGCAGGAAATTCTACATTTATTGTTGCATATGCAATTACGAAAAAATACACTCTTGGCGGTCCAAAATAACACCTAATTGAGTGTTAACTCTCAAATAAACCAACTTGAGAATTAACACTCAATTTGAGTGTTATGTCAGATCGCCAAGAGTATATTTTTTCGTAAGAAATCCACTAAAAAAAGGATGTTTATATGTAACTTCTTATAAAAATATTTTTCTTACGCAGTAAGAAACACTTGATTATTGTGGTCTATTATAATCTGTCCCATGTAATTGCTTAGAAACATATACATAATGCTTACAGACATATACATAATCAGTAGAAAAAATTCGTTGAGATTACTTGTAGATAATGCTATCTGAAAAAACTAACAAACGTTTTTCATGGAAATTACTAATGTTATATGTGCATACGTTATATGTGTATACGTTGTAACTATACTAACTTATGAATAATACACAAGCTTTGCTTATTGTTAAAGCTAAAATTATGAGATTAATTGATATAGAAATGGATATGTATATATGCATATATACAGGGTGTCCAGCGAGACTTTTCCAATCCCCCACAGGAAGGTAGGTGGGATCGAAATAAACATAAAAATCGTTTAGCGATATCTGTAATAATAATCGAGATATTAAAGTTTGCAATTGTACTAATGAGAGCGCGCCTATAGAAAGAATAGAAACGGCTCCGGATATAGTCCAGCCCAGTTTGTCGAATGTTGTCAAACGACGGATGCGCCGGCAGGAGAGGCAAGAGGGGAAGCGCGCCGTTGCTTAGCGCTAGAGTCCCTATAAGAGAGTCAAGACATAAGACCGGAAGGACGTCATTGTTGGGGGCCGGCCGGAAATAACACGTGACACGAATAGACGCGTTCGCCCCTGTTTGTACTACTACACCATGAAACAGTTGCTCACACCAATTCACAGATTCACTAACACATCGAAAGCATCTAGAAATGGCGGCGACCAATCACGAGGCCGTCACCCCTCATGTCGTGACTCTTATAGGGATTCTACTCGGTATCGCCGCTCACACGTCTCACCGCACCGCACCAAAGGACTCGCGCGATGGCCGAACGCACATTTACATTACATATGTAATAATAACACTGCAAAAATAGGACAAATACCAACCATAATAAACTTCGATGAGTAAAAATGTCGAAAGAGAGAAAGTGATGAAACCTACAGAAAATCGAATTAATTTCTATCGTAATCTGTCGCTTGTTTAAATCGAAAGGAAAAAAATTTAAGAAAAAAGTATCCGAAAGAAATAATATCATTCTCCACCATTCTCTATCGTTTTCTGTTAGGAAAGTATGATTTCATTGGAATACGATGAAATATCAATAAAGACGTAATTTTTCATTGAAAGTTTTGTTGGAATCTCTCTTCCTATGTATACTTAAAACATCACTGAAAATCTACCATAGTTAATAGTGTATTTACGGTAGTAGAAATTCTAAGCTTACTATCGCATAATTACCAAAAAAGCTCTTTGTTGTTAACCGTATCAACGATATTTGATTTGACATAGCATTGTGCTCTCGAGGTATAATTGATTATCGTACACTGTTAAAAGACATAAAATTTAATGTACTTTTAAGTTACAAAAATTAAATTAAATTTTTTGACTACATTAAATTTTATGTATCTGTAACTGAGAAAAGTATATTTGTGTACATGTACATGAAATTTAGTGTACGTTTCATAAAATTTTACGAAGTTTAGTACATTTTTTATTAAAAAATTTTATGTAGATTTGTATAAAATTTAATGTAAGTAAACGTTAAATTTAAGCTAAAATGCTAAGCAACGGCGCGCTTCCCCTTTTGCCTCTCCTGCCGCGCATCCATCGTTTGTCAAACTGGACCGGGCTATACCTCGAGCAGCCGGAGTCGTTTCTGTTCTTTCTATCGGCGCGCTCTCATTAGTGTAATTACAAACTTTAATATCTCGATTATCGTTATGGATATCACTAAACGGTAAAGAACTTTTATGTTTATTTCGATCCCATCTACCCTCCTATCCTATGGAGTATTGGAAAAGTCTCGCTGGACACCCTGTATATATTAATATATAATTGCTAAAACGTTAATTACACACAAATACTAATACGTTTTATTTTTATATAAATAGGGAAAGACGGTTAAAAGTATGTACTTAAAAAACTTTTGTTTTTTTGTGTAGGAAAGAAATCTCACTCTTTTTTTGGAGTAAATCTTACTTCAAAAGATTGAAGTCTTACTCTAAAAAAAGAATGAAAATCTGCCACTTTTATTCAAGAGTGCAAATATTTTCACTCTTTCAATAATGGTAATATTTTCGTTCATTTGGTGAGTGAGATTTCACTTCAAGAAATTTAGAGAGTTGAAGATTTATAACTGTTGTATTGATTTATTGATTCTTATATGTATTCAGAATTGTTAATATATTATTTTTATGCAAATCTCATACATTATTACACGAAACCGGAAACTTACTCGATACAAATTGAGGGTAAAGGAAACAACTATTCCTCCAGTGAAACAAAGCATCGTTATCTCGAATGAGGACACTAAATGCTTGGACAACCTTCATAAACAATAAATGTATTATTTAAAAATGATAAAAATATTAATATTCCTCCTGCATACTCACTGCAGCCATCTTGTATTGTGATATTAGAAACGAAAAAAATACATAAAAAAATTTTTGCAGATTATATTAAAATGCCAACACATTCTTTTTAATATATACAAATTTGCAATCGTTAGAATGAATTTGTAAAACATATCAATAACTCTTCCTTTGTGTGATAATAAATAACTATATACAAGGTGTCTCTAAAAATATGCTGCTTCAAATAATTTATTAATTGTTGATTTAAAAAACAATTTTTATATGAAAAAGTGAAGCAATTTCGAAGAGAATATATTGCGTTGTTATCCTTTTTTAGGTGCTAAAAAGATGTGAAGATTATTTTCACTTCCTTAAAATTTAATTATATAATTTTTTTATATAATATATTGTAGGAAGAATATCCGTTTCGTTTGTAAATCTTTATTTTTCGCGCGATTTCGGCTATGGCGCTATGCGTTAGGGTATCAGCGCGCCTGCGCAAGAAGGAAGAGGAAAGGAAAGTTGGATCAGAGATAGAATATGGCGGACACGTGTGGTATCTCTAAGCGTGAAGTGTGAATAAATTAGTGTATTTCTCCTAAATTGTCATCCAATAAATATTGACTCGCCATCGATTCTACTTGGAATCATCTTATTAATCCTACAATACAGAATAATTAGAGAAATTATATTATATAAAAAAGATCATATAATCCCATTTAAAAAAGTGAAGGTGACTTTTTTGGCACCTTCGTTGCAGCTAGAAGAAATACAATGTTACCAAAATACATACCCATTGAAATCATTCTACTTTTATAAAAAATATTTTTTTATTAAATCAACAAATAATGAATTATTTTAAACGACACTATCTTAATAATAACTTGTATTTAAAGTTAAATTATGCTTATACAAACAACGAAATAAACTATATGACAGCTGTCGAACTGAGATAAATATGATTCTATTTCAAAATAAAAGGAGAATTTTCAGTATATTTTACAAGTTTACTTTACCAAATACAAATATTCTTTTGTTGAAAAATATTTCTACTAAGTATAATGTATTTTTTACGAAATTTTTTATTATGCATATTTGATATCGGTCTAAAGATTCGTGTCAGGAGCCTTAATTGTATATATACTGCATGAATATTGTATGTTGGTATTAATACAAACTTCATAGCTTGACGATGAATGTCTATAGCACAAATTATGCTCTCGGTCATGAAAACCTTATTTTTTAACGTAATATTTTGTAGGATATTAATATTTACTGCATGGTTGATACGATAACTGTATAAATATTGAATTGTAATTATGTAGCAATTAAAGACACAATTTTTTAATTAACAAACTTCCACAAAAATTTGTTAAATAAATTATATGTATAAAAATAACTAATCTGATGATTAAAAGGTTATAATAAATGCTCATTTCTTTCCTCTACGTATACATTCTTACCTAGCAATTCTAAACATTCCACAGGTATGTAGAAGATATGAGATGAACATTGAACCTGTTGCTAACATTATAGCCGCTACAATGCATAATTCTCCGTACATATGCAACAGAATCCAATATAAATACTTTTCTTGATCAATAAGGTACTCTGACGTAATGAGTAAATGATGTGATTGAGATGTGTTCATCGTATTAACATCAGCTATAAACGACCAAATTTGAGCTATAATAATAATAAATATTCCACAAACTCCAAATACTAAAAAGAAGTAAAAAGAATTATTTAAATTTTTAATATCTAAAATTGTTTTATGTATACTATATACATGTATTACGAAATAATTCTTATCTTGGATTTTACAACAGAAATGGTAGCTGTGTTATTTTACGTATACGTTGTATATTATAAAATATTTTTTAATAGAATAAGATTTTATTGTAAAATTGCTAACTATTTTAAATTTTATTTAATTTATTAAACACATTGGCCATTCCTCGCAGATGTACATACATATTTTCTAAATTTCCCGGAGTGAAATTTCACTCCAATGGATTTAGAGAGTGACAAATATTTCAACAGATTTATATAATAAATCATATGTAAATATATATATGTTTGTATGAAAGGGGTTATGATGTTCCACCAAAAATCGCGATTTTTTTCTCAGTAATGAACAAAACTAGTTATAAAAAGATAATGTTTGTTATGTGTACAATGTTTTAAGAGAGTGCTTGTGGTTTTTGTAGGAAAAATTCTATTTCAAATAGAATGAACAAAAATCCTTTAGCGACTATACACTTCAAATGTTTATAAATATATATAACGGCCATTTTAGTATGATCCTACGCAAACGAAGTCCATCCAACTCCTCCTCCCCCCACCCCCGCCTAGGGACGCACTACTTTCCATGCGAAACGAATTCCACCCCTGCTAAGGGACATACAACTTTTCATTCAGGTAGATTTTGTTTTGCGTGAAAAGTCGTGCGCCCTTAGCAGAAAGGGAGGTGGAGTGGAACTCGGTTTGCGTGGAAAGTCGAACGCCTCTTAAGAGGGGGGTGAGTGAAGTGTCCATACATTTTTTCAATCTTGATCATTTTACTTCGATTCCGTGGCAAGTACAGATAATAATATAGAAAACAACAAAAAATATTAATATAAAGAAACTTTATATTAATATTTCAATAAAAAATTTAAAAAATATTTAATTTTTTAAATAGAATTTTGTCCTGCAAAAACCACAAGCCCCCTTTTAAAAGATGGCACACATGTATTTTTATAACTAGTTTTGTCCATTACTGAAAAAGAAACCGCGATTTTTGTAGGACCACTTCTGAACATTTACCGATTGAAAATATTATTACAAAATTAATAAATATTATCTTACCTGTAAGCGTAACCGTGTAACGTTTAGCAATGCAACTATATTTGTATATAATTGCAATTTCATTTTTATCCTTTAACTCATTGAGTATATATCGAAGTTCCATCAATAAATTCTTCACCTATTATTTTATTAATTTTCTATACTCTCTTCGTATATATCAAAAACACTTTATGCAATAAAAATTTTTTTATAGACAAGTTAATTCTATTTAATGGATACTCAGTAAGTTATGAACTTACAATTTCAATGTTAAGATGGAACGCATTATATTTTATCATGCACAATATGAAGAGAGATACGGAAGACAGCACCTTTATTACAAGGTCTAAAGTACATTTTAATATTATTAATGGTGTCAACTGCAAAAAGTTAGTTTTACACATTTTCATATATAAATATGATTTTGTTTAATGCGATATATTATTTCTTAAAATGGCATGTATTAACGGTACAAATAAATGCTTATACATACTATTGTGAACCAACAATTTGCACCTCTATAGCGAGTACTTTGTAGTTTCTCATTTTTGATAAAAAAATTAAATTGCATAATATGGATTGATATAAACAGTTGAAATGAAAAATTGTCACGCAGTAATTTATATTATACATATAATAATTTTATATTATTTTATACCTGAAATATAATACCTGCTGACAAAATAGTACAGAAGAAAATAAACTGAATTTGAGTAAATTTGGATTGTTGATAAGGCCATAAACCAATAGCAAGCAATAGAATTTTATTGAGATTATTATTCTGAGTTTCTGGATGTATCATTTTCTCTTCGAGCGTCGAAGTATTTCTGTGAAGACTGAAGACGTTGTAAAGAGTATATTTATTCCATTTTTTCATTATTTGACTAAATATTTCACATCCTTATGTTTTCTCTGATATAAATTTTGCCGTAAATTTCACAATTTATAATGATTGTTTCTGTAAAAGTTTTTAGATTGTTTTACTGCGTGAAATCTAACTGTGTTGAATTTAACATACGTAATTTCATCAAATTACTGATATTTATGTTATTGATTTACCAGTACAAGTAATTTGACAGATGTTATTTTCTCATGAAAATAAGTTATTTGTCACGCAAGCATATTTTCTCTCTCTCAGCGCCAGAACTTCATTCTGATTTACGCACTCACGCGATACACTTCGAGAGAATATTCCTTTATTTTTAATTCTTCTGCTATCGTGATCTATCTGATAAAATTCGTAATTTGAAAATGTCAGCATTAATACATAACGTTATTACATTTTAAGACTGCGTTTGACAAAATTAATATTTTCATTTTAACACAATACATAAATGCACGTTTATGACCTGTATATTTGCTTATGACAAATTTTCAATTGCTATTAAGGAAGAGTATATAATTCATAATGTGCAATTTTATATTTTCTTTTGAAACGATACATTTTGTCTGCATCAATCATTTTATATTATTACATTTTATGCAGCAAAACAGTGTAAGATTGTCACAATTTATATTAAGGTAACCAGACTCTATACTATGACCTTAAGCAATTTTTTCTCATTTTTCACCAAGTCTAAAATTTGAAAAATGATTGTGAATATTAAAAAAAACATGAAACATATTTATATATTTAAATAAATAGTGAAATTTTCAAATGACAGTTGTGTGTGTATAGGTCGTATGAGTACATATGTATCCAATATTAACAATACTTTTTCCTTTTACATCTTTCATTTACTTTTTAACGTGTGTTATATATTGCATATGTGGAGGAAAAATATTTTCATACTTTAAAGTATTCAACTTTTGAAAAAACTGTACTGCACATTGATTTGTACAGAAAAAATATTTTTGTCGATTAAAATATTTCAGTTATGTTAAAATGTTGATATATAACTCTTACTGCATTGTCTACATTGATACGTAACGGTAATACAATACACGTTTATAATCTGTACATTTGTTTCTTACACACTTTTAATTGTAGTTAAGGAAAGATATATAACTTGTAATGTGCAATTTTTTTTTTAAAGAAACAATTTATTTTGTGTACATCAATCGCTTTATCTTATTACAGTTTATACAGCTTAATATAGACAATATGAGATTGTTACAATTTATATTTAGGTAACCAGATCCCAATATGATATATTTACTTAAGCAAGTTTTTCTAATTTTTTACCCAGTCCAAAATTTGAGAAATATTTGTGAACATAAAAAAAAACATGAAATATTAATAATTATGGTGATGAGGGGAATCAGCCCCGATGACCTTGACCTTGACATATGTTGTCAAGGTCATGATCCTGAGTGACCTCCAACAAGTTTTAGTCGTCGCTCGTTATTCGACAACACACAATTCGAAACATGAGAAACAAAAACGTATATTACATATTTATTTTTATTACCTCTCTACAAAAATTTATCCAATCAACAACACAATGCGAATCCATGTTCAAATCAAATTGTAAAAACTCTTGCCGAGGAGGATGTAACATAAAAAAATAATCAATTAAACGGCATGCTCTATCTAAGCCTAGTCGAAAATGGGAAAGAAATGTTCCATTGACGGGCTCAACTTAAAATTGCATGTCTTCCTTTGCCTTTTTCGTTCACCAATAAGTTTGTAGTAACGTCCGGTGCAGCGAAACAATAACGTCGTTTCTGAAGTATATTTACGTACAATATTACGTACCACCTTACACCGCGGACATTCAGTTGTTTGCCTAATGATGTTTTTTTCACAAAGTTAAGAAATTCATTCTTCCAAATTATCAATCAAACGTAGAAACACGTACAACTGCATGTTCAGTTGTTGAGAATTCTACATCTACTAAACAGAGAATGTATCTACAGCTTAGGTATGTCTCTGTTATTGTATGAACATGTAAATATAAGATAAATATAAACATAAGAAATCAAACGTTCCTAGGCAAGAAAGGAAATGAGATAGAACTCGTTTCGCATGAAAAGTCGCTTCGCGTGAAAAGTCGAAACTTATGTACAAATATCGCGCGCCCCTTAGCAGGGAGGAGACGGAGATGAGTGTCGGAAGTGTGATTCGTGTGAATCCTGAAGCAGGGGGGAGGAGGGGTAAGAGTCGAAGGTGAGAGTCGTGAGCTCCT